GTGAGAGATGACCCTCATAGGCGTGGGCCTTCTCAGGAACACACTGGAATTTCTGAAGCCGAGAGTGGAAGAAAACTGTGCATCAGTCCAGACCAAGTTCATCCCACTCTGGGATGCCAGAGGCATGAGTCACTAAGCCGTGAGGCCCAGCTGATGGAATTTCACTCAATGAGCTAACTGCTTCCAGTGGACTCCTACCTCTGCTTGGGGCATCCTGGTGGCCCCTTGACACTTCATAAATTTCCTTCTAAAGCCGGGAAAGAGCACACCTTCTTTGTGTGAATGACCCCACCAAGGGAGAGTTCACAGGTGTGGACCCGGAGCTACCTGTTGGCCAGCAGCTAGGACACTGGGCAACTCCATTCTCTTCTTTAAGATGAGCGGGTTGAACCCAATCCTTTTAGCTAATCCAGAGTGGCAATGTTTACAATGTCAGAACAACACAGCATGCACTCATCATTTACAAGATATTTTTAAATATTCTTAAGGGGGGGAAATCAGATGCCTTTGTAAAAGTGCTTGCAGACTATGGAGTTAGTCCTACAACTGATTTACCAGCCTGGATTCATTTCATCCAGAAAATTAGCCAGGCAAAGTCTCAGCTCTCCCTTTTCTGTCACCTCTTCCTATGTATTCTAAGTTTTAGACCCCAGAGCTGCAGGCAGGACACGTGGGTTGTGGTCCAAGTGGAGCCTGAGGCTTGCAGCCGTATGTCTGGAGCAGCTAACCCTTCAGAGGTCTCTGGACACCTCGCTGTAAAACAGCCTTTTCACAGGGACAATGAGTCTCAAACCTTAAAACCACAAAATCTTGCCAAGAGGTAAGCAGGAGCGAAAAATAAAAGGGGAAGACTGTTGGTTCCAAGGGAACAGATCTGTTTTAAACCTAGAAAACTGAGCCCCAACAACCCCCCTCCCGCCCAGGATTTCAGAGGTTCTTAAATGGAGAGGCTTTGTTTCCGGTCTGTGGCGGGCAGACCGATTGGAAAAAGCATTAGATAAGGAGAGATTACAAATCCAGATGCCCTCTTCGCAAACCTCTCACTGGCTGTTTTGTGCATTGCTAAGTCATGTGCTCATAGAAAGGCTTGTGTCTGGGGCCACGTGTGGTTAGATCAGGAACAGTCGGGTCTTTTCCTTTTCTCTACCTCCCACCTCACCTTCTTCCTGACCCACTTTTTATAGGCTCCTTTGCAAAAGCAGTTAGGTTACCAGAACTGATTGGAAATCTCTAGGTTGTAGGACTTAGGTGTGGCCTCTCCCTCGGTGGCCCCAGAGACTCAGTTTCTCTTTTGTGACAGCAGACAGCCCAGAGGCCAACAGCGGGATGAGGAGGACAGAGCTGGGAGAAGCGGGTGCCCTGCCCTCCACTCTCTCACATCCTTCTGGAAGGGCCTGAGACCTGAAAAAGCTTTTTCTTCTCTGAACCACAGGGACCGAAGCTGTTGCAAAAATTTGATTCCAGGAGTCCAGGTTTTTATTAGTCACAGACAGCTACCAAATGCTTCAACTGTGGGTGTTTTTTTCTTAGCAGTAGCCTTATCTCACCAACATCTGAGGCATCTGGGGTGGAGGCCTGGGGCCCAAAAGGGAGGAATCAACTCTAAAAGGTCCCAGCACCCCCAACCAGAGTTCTGTTCTCCCACCAGAGAGATGGTGCAACAGGTTGCACTGGGGGTTTAGGGGAGAAAGGGAGGCTGTGTTCATCTCTGTGCAGCTGAGAAGGTGGTGGTCCCTCCAGGCCTAAATATAGACCTGCTTCCCCCAATGGCCACAGGATAGCTGGACGGCCTCCCTCTGTGGCGGGAGGAGAAATGGTAACAAGTGGGCAGTGTGAGCCGGCCTCTCCAGCAGGGCGGTGAAATCCCCGGTCCTGCTGACTGTCGGGCCGTCCTGGGCCCGGTCTCCCGCTCACAGGGAGAGGATGTGTGAGAGCCTGTTCCTGCTAACATTCCACGGTGCTGTTTGCCCAGGGCCTCCATGAGGCCAGGCATGCCAGCCACCACAAGGGACACAAGAGAAGTAGTTCTAAGGTGACCTATTTTCCCAACTAAAAATAGGTCACGGCATCTGAAAAGCAAAAGGGCATTTATGCAGCTAACACGAAATGTTTGAAACTACGCACATCCTGGCGAGTCTGGGAACTTGGTTGGTGGCCAGGGCACATGCAACCCTTTCCAAAGCATAAATGCAATTATCATTGTTTGTGAGGTGAAATAAGTGAATAAGTAGCATTATAAATTGTTTTAGATGGAATAAGTGAATGAATGAACAGTGCAGCACTTTGAGCAGCGTGGGGTGGATGGCAGTTTGGAAAGGGCGGGGTTAATGGGGAAAGAATGGTAGGGATGCTCTGTGGAAGGAGTGGGGCTGAGGTGGGTGGGCGGATGCCTCTGTCGGTGGTCTGCAGATGTGATGAGGGCAGGCTGGTAGGGCTCTGCAATGGCCCCAGTGGTTCATTTGGGTCACCTCATCCATGCTGGAGGGGTCAGTGCCAAGGAATCCACCCGCCCCATCCCCACGAGGCTATTGGTAAGGCAGCTGGATGCTGTAGCAATTCGTTCATTCATTCATTCATTCATTCATTCATTCATTCATTGAGCATAGACCCAATGCTAGGCCCTGGGAATAAAGGATGAATGAAATGAATGGACAGTCTTTCCCTGATGGACTGTCCTGCTTAGTAGTGGAGGAAGATGATTTCACAGATCATTACTTTGTTACCATGGTGATGATTGCTATGAGAAACATCAGATATCCCACCTGGGAGTGTGGCGGACTGTTGGGCCTGGCCCAAGACTTGCCTGGTCTGTGGCCTCAGCCCTCCTGCTGGGTCAGAGGGACTGGCTGCTGGAGCAGGTGTCCTGCCAGCTTCCTGCAGACAGCAGGGCTTGCCTGTTCTCAAAGAAGCAGCCTCTGTTACCTACCCCAGTGCTTCGGGTCGGAAAATGAAACAGAGCACTCGGTTTTCCAGCAGCGCTGCAAAGCTCATGATTTATAGGAGGAGGGCCCAGACACACTGCGGCTTTTTCCTCTGGTAGCTCAGCATGACCTCAGCTCTCCACACCACCCCAGGCCCGCCCCCACCCGGCTCCATCACAGAGCTGAGGAACAGACACGTGGCCATGCCGCCCCTCTCCCCTCTCCTCCGTCCGACACAAGTCACAGGCTGAGAATGTTACAGGCACTTCTTACTGCGAATCCCCGATTTGACCATCAAAGGGGATAATTACCGTGCAGCCAGACCCTTCTAACACAACGTGCCTCCGACGCTTTACAAATTTACACTTAGCTAAACCGTCTAAAGCAGGAGTCCTCAAACTTTTTAAACAGGGGGCCAGTTCACTGTCCCTCAGACCGTTGGAGGGCCGGACTATAGTTTGAAAAAAAACTATGAACAAATTCCTATGCACACTGCACATATCTTATTTTGAAGTAAAAAAAACAAAACGGGAACAAATACAATATTTGTATTTGCATGTGGCCCGAGGGCCGTAGTTTGAGGACCCCTGGTCTAAAGTGTGCTGACAGTCAGATCCGCTTTCAATTCAGTTCAATAACTATTCGCATCAGATTTCGAGTGGGGGGAAAGGAGGTGTTAAGTAGCCCAGATGACAAGAGAACGCATGGATAAAGGACAAACATTCTTGTTCATCTATTAAATCACACAAGCAGTGCTTATGCTATGAAGAAGGGAGGCAAACGCTGCCTCGCTGTTTATGTTGCATTAAACAAAGAATAAAGGGAGTCTTTATTAAATTTTTGGCTTGGGAGCCTGAAGTTTCTAGCTAAACCGAATTCCTGTAATTGGATTTTTAGAAATTATTACTGGGTCATTCCAAAAATATTTGAGGACCCACTATGTGTCTGTCTGGCAGAAGGAGCCGTGGGTAATACAAAAATGAAGGTGGCACAGTCCTGCCCTTGAGGGACTCACCGTCCAATGAGGCAGCAAACACACGTGGACAGATAAAGAGCAGCATAAGATAGTCAGAATAAGCAAGGATCAAAGGAGCAACTCAGAAAGCAAATGCTAGAGGGATGAAGGAGAAATCAGATCCTCGAGGATGAGATATTCGGCTGAGGGGGCTGTGTGCAGGAGGTGGTGCTGTCTGCCCTCTGTCAGGAGTGACAGCAAGACTTGCCTAATTGGTTGACCTGTCTCAGGGCCTTGAACAGTGCTGGATGTCATAGTGCTCAACCCAAAAGAAATTTTAAAAAATATTTTTATTGATTTCAGAGAGGAAGGGAGAGGGAGAAAGAGGTGGAAACATCAATTTTGGGGTCCAGCCCCAGCAGGTCCAGGGGTTCCCCAAGGTGTGAACGGAGTCGGCGAAGAAGGAAGGACACGGAGGCAGCTTTCAGGTGATCATCATAGCCAGGTTCCTCTCGCCAGATTCTGTAGCCAGGTTCTGTCTTTTATTGTCTTATTACATCTGTATTTATACCAGTTGATTTTAATCCTATCAATTCCTATTCCAAAGGTTAGGGCGTTCTTATCTCCATTCCAGGGAGTAAAGATTATGTAGCTTAAGCGTGATTGTTCGTAGTTAAAGTGATTAACTACCCGCCTGGCACTTAGTTAAGGGGTTTTATTCCCTCCCTAACCTCAGGGAAAAATCCCTACCTGGGGAAACAACCTTTTTCGGAGAGGTGACCTTGGTTAAAACACATAGCACCAAGAAGGGGAGCAAACATATTAAGAACAGTATGCCATATACGCCAGGTCCCTTGAAACATATGCTCTGCAGATGTTTCTTCCCTGCAGCGACTGTGTCAAGCAGCAAGGATGGACCGGCTTCCGGCAATCAATGATGACAGAGAATCATGGATTGTCTGCCTCTTGCATGCCCCACAATGGGGATCAAGCCCACAACCTGGGCACATGCCCTGACCGGGATTCAAACTGTGACCTCCTGGTTCATAGGTCAATGCTCAACCACTGAGCCATGCTGGCCGGGCAACAGTAATTTTTTTTTTTTTTTTCACTGTGGCATCCAGTTTCTATTCACAAAGAAAAAGCTCCAGTCCATCTTTTAATTTTTTTGAAAAATTCCTGACATTACAGAACTAAACTGAAATGTATTAATATTCCACTCTTACATTTCCATGACAAACAAAAAAAAAATTCATGAGCCAAAAAAAAAAAACACCAAAAAAAAACAAAACAGGGAGAAGCTTATAAAACTAAATATGGATCTCAGCATTAACAGCTGAACAGAGAAAGGAATTAAAACGCTTTAATTAAAAAATCACGAGTGGATGATAAAGTGTGTAGAAACTGAAAATTTACAAACTATTTAAAACCTGGAATCGCTGACTGTTCAGAAACTACACAGATGGATCATGGGTGGTGGTGAACAGCAGAAAGGGATTATGGATGAATCTGCATTGTTCTAGCTGCTCCCCATGCCACCCGTCTCCGAAGAAAGCCTGACATTGATTAGATATTGAGCCAGGCTAATGCTGGCAGCAGATCCAGTGATGGTAACCTGCCTATCAGTAGATCCTTCCACTGGGTTCGCAATTTTGATCTGCGCCCCAGACATCTGACAGATCTCATTGATTTTGGCGCCTTGACGCCCGATTATGCAGCCAATCAAATCATTTGGAATGGTGAGTTCATGAGAAGTAGTCTGAGCAGATGCATCCAAACCTGCACTGAATCCGGTGTTGCCATGCGTCATGGGAAAATGAGACTGTTGCATTGCCAACTGGTGCAGCTTGGTCAAATCTGGCTGTGGAATGGCATACTGTCCTTGAATGGTATAGGCCTGACCACCTGCAAAGATGACTGGTGAACTGGACGGCTTGGGCCGGTACGGGATGGTCACGCCCTTCGGGGGGGACTCCAACATGACCACGCAGATCTGTTTCACACACTCAATGATGGATTGCGGAATGCCAGCAATAGTGATGGCCCGCTCAGTTGAGTTGGGGAGCATATCCCCTGCCACCTGGACTTGAGCTCCTGTACTCTCTCTTATTTCCTTGATCTTGCAACCACCTTTCCCAATGAGAGAGCCACACTGACTAGCAGGCACCACCAGCCGCAGGGTGACTGGGGGTCTACTGGCAGCTGTGCTATTGGTCATAGAGCTGCTGATGTCCTCTTCCAGTTTGTCAATGATCATAGCGAAGGCTTTGAAGATGGCATTAGTGGGTCCAGCCAAAGTGATAATTCTCTCAGGACAATTCCCTTCTGAGATGTTGATACGTGCACCACTCTCCTCACGCATCTTCTTAACTGATTCTCCTTTCTTTCCGATGATACTGCCAACTTCCTTTCCATGCATAAGTAGCCGGATGGTGAGAGTGACGTTTAATCCACCTTCAATCACACCGGTGTCCATGTCGAGCAGTATTCTGGGGAGCTGGACTTTGAGTGGTCAAGTCTTTGGTCACTGGTGGGGGGGAGGGAGGGTGAAAGCCAAGAACTGCAGGCGCGAGGCGACTGAGGGGAAAAGGGGAGCGGGCGGGAAGGGGAAGGGCGGGAGGCCGGGGGCGGAACAATAGGGGCGGGTGGGAAGGCCAGGGGGGCCCCCGCGGGCGGGCGGAGGAGGAAGGGGGGGGTGGGGGAGGAAGGGGGAAAGAGACCCCGGGGCGGGTGGAGGGCGGCGGAGGGCGGGCGGGCGGGAGAGGGCGCAGGCTGCGGCTGCTCCGGCTGCTGCCTCTGCTGGTCTCGCAACAGTAATTTTTTAAAAAATGTATCTTTATTTATTTATTTATTTATTTATTTATTTATTTTTTAACTAGAGGGAGGGAGGGAGGATTTATTCACAGCAGGACATGATCAACAGATACATGAACAGTGGTACTAGGGACGGCAGGGGGGAAGGGCATTCCTGCCACTCAGGCCTCCCCACCAGGTGTTTGTCCAGGGTGGCCCGCAGGCGGAAGGGCACACGGCAGTGGGGGCACTCAAAGCGAGCACCGGGGGGCCCCAGACCGTGCATGCCGTGGTGGCGGTTAAGCTTGCTGCTCTGGGCACAGGCATAGGGGCAGAGCTCGCAGGTATAGGGCCGCTCCCCGGAGTGTGAGCGCCGGTGCACAGTCAGGTTCCTGTGTTGGTGAAACGTTTCCCACGGAACTCACAGCTGCCCCGGGGCCCATGGCTCTTGCCCACTGTCTTTGGAGTCTTCTTAGGCAACTTCTCTGGGATCTGGGCAGAGCTGATTCTCTCTTCCTTGATGGCGACGCCGCAACCGTCCCCACCAGGACCAGCCTGAGCTCCACCACCTGGAGCCCCAGGTTCCTGCACGCCTGCTGTGTCGGCTGCTCCAGCCCCTTCACGGCTGCACAGGAGAGCCCTGGCTGGGGCAGCGGCATGGGCGGCTGGCTCCGGAGGGGCAGCTGAGGCCTGTTCCTGACTGGCCTTGGCCGTGTAGGGGCTCTGAGGCTGCAGCTGCCGGTGGGTCTTCTTGTGGCGGTTGAGATGGCTGCTGTGGGCACAGGCGTAAGAACACTGGTCACAGGCGTAGGGCCGCTCGCCCGTGTGCGAGCGCATGTGCACCTTGAGGTTGCCGAAGGAGCTGAGGGTCTTCATGCACACAGAGCAGGTGGGGCTCCGCCGGGGGAGGCTGTTCGCCCGGGAGCCCTTGGCCTCCACTTCCTGCCCCACCATTGCTGGCATGGCTGCAGCCACCTCGGCCAGGACCAGCAGCGGATTCTCTGGGGCCTCGGATTCCGTCAGGCAGATGGACAGTCCGTGGTCCCACCGGGCATGGCGCAGCAGTTCCCAGCCCTCGGTGAATTGTCGGCCACAGCGGAGGCAAGAAAAGGCCTTCGGGTTCTCAAGTTCTGAGTCCGGGCCAGGGCTGGGGCCTCCAGAGGGCTGACAGCCCTGCTGCTTGTGGTCCATGAAAGCCTTGATGGTCTTCAGCGGGAGGTCTGCAGGCAGAGGCCGCAGGTCAACGTATCTGGGTGTTTGTCAGTCCAGGGCTGGCGGTCGTGAGGATTAGGGACCAGAGAAGTCCACGGCGCCGACTGGTTCTGCAAGCCGAGGGCGAGAAGGGTACCGACGGCGGGCACCAGGCTAGGGCAGGAGCAGGGTGCGCCCTCGAGGCGGCCCGGCGCGGGCACTTCCTTTGGGGAACCCCGCTGCAGTCCCGCGGCCTGTAGGGACCACGGATGTGGCTCGGGCTTCACGCGGTCTCGTCGTCGGTGTGGGCGGCGGGCTCCTTGGGGTCGACTCGGCGGGGCGTGCAGCCGGCCTTGTGGCGGGACGTGGGTCGCCGTGTGGACAATCGGGCGGGCTGGCGGGCGGATGGTGCGCGAGGCGTGTGCGCTCGGCCAAGACGCTCCGGTGAGTGACTGCGGCGACTGGCCCCGAACTTTTACACGTGCTCGCCCGGCGGCTCCGCCCACCGGGGCGGGGCCTGATGGGAGCCCAAAGGGCGGCTGGAGGCTAAACTCAGTCTGAGCCATGCTCATGGGGATTGGCTTAAGGCAGTGATGGCGAACCTATGACACGCATGTCAGAGGTGACACGCGAACTCATTTTTTTGGTTGATTTTTCTTTGTTAAATGGCATTTAAATATATAAAATAAATATCAAAAATATAAATCTTTGTTTTACTGTGGTTGCAAATATCAAAAAATTTCTATATGTGACACGGCACCAGAGTGAAGTTAGGGTTTTTCAAAATGCTGACACGCCGAGCTCAAAAGGTTCGCCATCACTGGCTTAATGACTACACCTAAGGGCATCTAGCTGACGCGGCCAGCATAGGAACGGTGACTTCAGATCCCGTGTTAGGGCTGGTGAAACAGGCACAGCATCCCCACAAACACCCAGGAGGGAGAAAATGGTAGGGGCTACGTTTCTAACTGTGCCCCTAACAGTATCTTGGACTTTTTCAGTAAATACATAATAAAAATTCACTGGGCAAACCTCTATTGCGTGCCTGTGGTGCACCAGGTACTGTTCTAAGCACTGGGAACACTGCAGCGAACCCAACAGACACTAATCCCTGGCCCCCGAGTTTACTGGTTCAGGGAGACTACACTCAACGAGATAACTGTGTAAAAAGAGAGTGCCTCCCTGGGTGACCAGTGTCACCTGGAGCCAAGCAAAGCTAGGAAGGGTTATAAAGGGGCAGGGTGACATGGGGGGGGGGGGCTCAATTTTCTCCCCACACCAGGGAAAGGTATGGTGGAATTGAGACCTGAGGGATGGGAAGGAGTCAGCCAGTCTCTGTTCAAGAATAACAAGGAAGGGGGACTCTTTCCCCCTCCCCACGTGGGAGTCTGTACTTGTTCTTCAATAAATTTCCACCTTCGCTATACAAAATAATAATGATAATAATAATAATAAAAATAAGGAGGGAGGAGACGGACAGGAGAGGGGTTGAGCTCTGAGAAAATGGAGTCAGCTGCGAGAGGGTCTTTTGACCACTTGAAAGTCTTGGTTTTTGGAGAGGTGAGTCTTGGGGGGGGGGGGGGTGTTGAGCAGAAGAGGATTACGATCGTGTACACATCTACTCTGCTTCTACACCTGGAACAGCCATGAAAGCCAAATGGCCAACTGTCTTACCTCTCTCCACTCGGCCTCCTTGAACTTCCCTCCTCAAAGCAGCTCTTTCAGATCACTGTTTGAAGTGGCATCAACACCCTGCCCCACCCTCCAACCCTTACAAGTTTTCTTTTCTTCCTGACACCAACCACATCATAATACAGAATGGTTTCTTGACTGTCTGCTCCCTTCCCCCACCCTATACAAGGCTCCTTAAGGTCAGGGACGGAGTCTGCCCTCCCCCAGACTCCCCAGCCTATCTTTATTGTTGAAAGTATTACAGATGCCCTCCTTTTTTTCCCCATTGACTCCCTCCATCGCCGCCCCCCCCCCCCGCCCCCGACCTTCACCACACTATTGTCTATGTCCACGGGTTATATTTATGCATATAAGTCCTTTGGTTAATCTCTCCCCCTCCCCCGCTACCTTCCCTCTGAAATTTGTCAGTCTGTTCCATGCTTCTATGTCTCTGGATCTATTTTGTTCATCAGTTTATTTTGTTCATTAGATTCCACATATGAATAAGATCATTTGTTAAATTTTTTTTTTATTTATTTTAAAGAGAGAGAGGAAGGGAAAGGGAGAGAGAGAGAAACTTCAATGAGAGAGAAACATTAGTTGGCTGCCTCTTGACCTCCCCCTACTGGGGATCAAGCCTGCAACCCACGAACCGGCAACCTTTTGGTGCTCGGGATGAAGCCCAACCAACTGAGCCACACAGGCCAGGGCGCAACAAATATTTTTTGAATGAACGAATGAAATTGTCCTTGAGGATCAGTAGGATTCTGATAGAGAAGAGAGAATTGCAGGAGTTCAAAGAGTGACCTTGGAAAGTTCTGTGAGATAACTGGCTGGAAAAAGGGAAGGGACCTGGCTGGAATCAAACCCGGGACCCTTCAGTCCACAGGCTGAAGCTCTATCCACTGAGCCAAACCAGCCAGGGCTCCATATAATTTGATTACTGAATTATAATGCCCTTCTACCTGCAGGATTCACATTACACCGCTGACTGGGAAACAGAAGTGCGGGTGGAAAGGCGGTGGGAGAATGGAAAGGGCTTGCTGGGCAGAATGGGCTGTAAGAGTGAGGAAGAGAGAGCGTGCAGAAGGCACCTGAGGCTCCCGCAGTGAAAGCAGAGAGGACTGGGGCCATCTTGGAAGTGTTTGGTTTGAGGTGCTGAGGACGGTGCCATGTGGCAGTTGGGAAAAGAGATCTCCACCCATAAGGCCGTTTTTAAAAAGAGCTGAATAAGGAAAGCTGCGGGCTATGAGAGCAAGATGAGGAACCTGTTAGCAGCAGAGGGAAGGGGCTTGCTAAGCGAGCGGAGGTTGTGTAGAACTAACCAGTCGTGCATTCTAGTTGGGATGATGGAGGACTGGTGTATGTCCACCATGGTCCTCCCGCCCCAACACCACTCCAAGGAGGAGGTCTCAGGTGGGAAGGCTGGGCTGATGGTAAATTATAACTTCTACAGCAGAGGGACGAGGGTCCTTGGCAAAGACCGCGTCCTTGCAGACATGCCTCTCTGGGCTTCAAAGAGTGACGTTGGCATGGCCGTGAGAGAAGCTTGTTGGCTGGGAAAAGGGAAGAGAGGGAATGAGATAGGAAGATCGGGGAGGCTCCTGACTGGGAGCCTAAGTCCTGGGAGTCACGGGAAGGCTGTGATAGATTGAAATCATTGTAGGCTTGCTTGCATTTTTGCCTTGCCTCCCCCTGTATCTTTCTCTGATGCAGTCTCCAACTAGACTTTCAAAACTAGTGGTTTTTCCTCATTGGCAACAGCCTTACACAGTCACATTGTGGAATTTGAAAGTCATTCACAGAAGCTGCAAGTGTGAAATATCAGTCAGGCATGGGCCTGGGGTCCAAGCTCTTGGCCAGCCCACTGGCAGAAGCAGGCGGCCTGGGCTTGCCGAAACTTGCTTTTCCATAATCACTCCCGGGGAGGTGATGAGCTCTGAGAAGGACAAATACAGAAGGTCCTGTGGATTCCCTGGGGGAAAGCCTTTAAAAGGGCTCGGTGTGCCCTAGCAGCGGGTTTGGCTCAGTGAATAGGCCTGCGGACTGAAGGGTCCCAGGTTTGATTCCAGTCAAACGCACATGCCAGGGTTGCAAGCTCGATCTCCAGTTGGGGGCGTGCAAGAGGCAGCCAATCAGTGATTCTCTCTCATCATTGATGTTTCTGTCTCTCCCTCTCACTTTCTCTCTGAAATCAATAAAAATATATTAGAGGAAAAAAGAGGGCTTGGTGAACTTCTGTCTCTGGCAAGAGGGATAGAATTCAGATCTTAATTTGAATTTTAAAATGTGCCAAATGCGTTCCCAGCTTCTGAGCTATCGTCCTTAATGTAAGACTAGCAAGTCTAGAGAGCCCTTAGTTAGACAAGAAAAATGTGTATGTTTTAGTGTTTCAAAGCTTTTCTTCTCTTTTGGAGTCGAACTTCTGGGAGGAAAATCCTAGCACTTGTGGTTATGGAAGGGATTCCACAGCAGTGACATAAGCAGGGGAGTGATGTGTGTCTGCGTGTTTTCCTGCACGGTGTCTCTGAGCGGCCTTGTGAGCTCGGTAACCAGCAGTGAGCACTGAATTCGAGCTGCGCAGGGTTTCCCCATCGCCCCGTCCCAGCCAAGAGCAGCTGGGAGGCAGCTCTGCCCTCAAATGTGCGCACTCGGTTCTGACTCGCAGCTCCTCCGGGTGGGTGCAGGGCGGACTACACATGTGCACAGCACTGGGCTGGCCCTAAAGGACCACCCAGAGGCCTGAGCCCCAGGCCCTACCCCGTGTGGGTCAACTCAACACCAGGCAGTGGACAGGGTATGAGTGGGGGGCCAGGACCACTCAGAGACCAGTAGCTGGGAGCCTAGAGCACAGGCTTGGACTCAGAGTTGTTTCCACCCTTGTTTACCCACTGATTGGCTGTGTGAACTTGGAGAAGTTGCAAAAGCCGGCCAGGTTTTCTCATTCTTCCCCTGTAGTGTGGTACGCCATTAGCCTTCTCATAGGTTGTCCTGGGAATTGAGTGAGGGATGGACGGGAAGTTCTGAGCAGGAGCTTGACCTGTAATGACTTGGTTGGTGTTTGATAAACAAGGGTTCCTGTGGTCATTATTATTCAGAGAAGAGGCAGGCTTTGTGGTTGGGAAGCCTGGCAGGATCCATGAAGGGGAGAGACCGTATTTTTGTTGAATGAATGAATGAATGAATGAATGGGGTGGATTTGAGCCCAACAGAGCCAGAAGGAGTTGGATCCATGGAGGGTGAATGAAAGGCATCCCATTTTAAAGGAACAATGATTATAAACCTGCACGGGCCGCTTTCCTAAGGCTTTGGAGGAAACAAGTCCCTCTGGACCTGGCCTCCACCACGTATGTACGCAAATAGACACATGCTCCACACACACAGAGACCACACAACGCACAGACGCACAGCCCTGAGGGTACACATGGTCACACTCAGACACACACACAAAGGCCCATCCCTCAGAGACATGTACAGATGCATGGATACAAACAGACACACAGACATACATGCCATCACTCACGCCATCACACACAGGAAATAACAAGGACAGTGACACCTGTTCTAGCACTTTCACTTTTCCAAGCCTTTTGGGGGGTGGGGGGGAGTAAGGATATTTTTTCCATTTATTTTTATTTTTCAAATATATTTTTGTTGATTTCAGAGAGGAAGGGAGAGGGAGAAAGCAATAGAAACATCAATGATAAGAGAGAACCCTTGATTGCACCCCCCCCCCCGGCTGGGGACCGAGCCTGCAACCTGGGCATGTGCCCTGACCAGAATCAAACCCGGGACCCTTCAGTCCACAGGCTGACACTCTATCCACTGAGCCAAACCGGCTAGGGCTCCATTGATTTTTAGAGAGAGTGGAAGTGAGGGAAGAGAGAGAGAGGGAGAGAAACATTGATGTGAGAAAGACATGTTGCCTCTCACACATGCCCTGACCAGGGGCGGGAATTGACGGGAATCGAACCCACAACCCTCTGGTGCACAGGCTGACCCTCTAACCACTGAGCCATGCCAGCCAGGGCTCTCCAAGCCTATTTTCCACATCCTAGAGCCCGCCTGGCTTCCCCCAACAGTCGTACTTCTGCTGAGGGGATGCTGTCCTCCATCAGGACAAGGGTACAGGGGTCTGCTAAGCTCCCCCCACCCAGGCCTTCCTTCTCCTGCTGTAGCTGGGGTGCTGACGTCCACATTTCACACCTGGTGGAGCTGTGGGGTGGGGTGAGAGGGGAGGATCTGTGAATGTAATAAAGTCCTTGGGGTTTGCCTGCCCTGTGAAGCCACAGAGCTGATGTTACAGCGGTAACTTTCCTTCTGGGCATTACGCATCGCTGGCTGGAATTCCAGCCTGGCTTCCGAGGTGGGGAGAGGCAGGAGGGGCCGGGCCCGGGGCTGGTTTAGCCCTCAGTCAGGCCCTTTCTTGGCTCGCCTCTGTCCACGTGTCTTGGTGGCACGGGTCCTGTGGCCTGAATGGAAGCTATAAAGAATCTGGGATCCAAGCTGGCCAACATCATCTTGCCACTGGCGGCCTTCCTTCCACTCCACGTGGAGAGGAACCAGGGCCAAATGCCATCACTGCCGGCCACATACTTTCGCCGCCCAGCAGGACTGGTGGGCAGGGCCTGGCTTTGCACCCTGAAGCCAGTGGCGAGGAGACACGAATGCCTGGGCACCCAAATAATGGCCCTGTTCAACCTTGTGGTTCATTTGCATTTGCACCTTTGCTGGCATTTGGGTCGAGTCTCTGGGTTCCCCCCTGCCAAGCCGGGCCCCACCTCTTCCCCACAGCCCAGGTCAGAGCCACATACCTCGGGAGCCCTGCCTCTGGGTGGCCCTGGGGAGGCAGTTGGAGCCAACCAGCTTTCTCATATGGATCATGGGAGGGCAGCAGCTCGAACGCACCTCGTTCTGCAGTGTGAGGACGACACGAGGGAAAGCACATGAAGCCTCACTGTGGGGCTCACGCGCAGTAGCTGTTATCAGTTTTCATTTCGTTGGATCCAAGTGTACATGTGGGGCTGGGGACAGGGGGCGGCTGGAGGGGAGGCAGAATCAGTCATGCTGGGCCGTGGGCACCTCTCTAAGTAATTGGGCATTACTGCATGGGCACGAGCGGACGTCAAGGGACAAGATTACAAAGAGCTTTCTGGTGGCTGGCCTGTGGCAGATGGATGGAGGGGGAGATGGAGGCAGGGGCTCAGCAGGGAGGCTGGCAGAGCTGGTGGTGGCTCCATGTGCAGCGGCAGGGGCAGAGAGGAGGGGCTGGAAGTGAGAGGTTAGCAGGGAGCACGGTGTTTGAGGGCGATTGGGTGAGCCTCGGAAAAGCATAAACTCCAGGGCAGCCCCCGTTCCTCTCACCCAGCGTGGCCTCTCCACACCCCTGTCCTTCTACCAAATCCCTGTGACCCGGGAGGAGGCGTGGGGCAGGGACATTGCTGCTCAGTGTCGGGGTGTGGGGAGGAGTCTGCCCCCCACTGAGCCTCCTCTACCTCCTTCACCGGGACCTGCCTCTCTCACTCACTGTCTCGGAATGACAGGCGGGCTGGGGGTGAGTCGGGCCTTTCCAAAGGCTTCCACGCGTTCAGAATCATTCCCTTTCCTGCCACAGACTGTGTCCACCCTTACCTCCTGGTCCCCAGGGTGTGTCCCCCACTAAGCAGGCCTGGGTCCCTGCACACACTCCCCTCCATGCTTCTCTCCAAGCCCTACCCCTACTCTCCTGGCATGTTCTCACTTAGAAATGTCGACCCCGGATACTGACTGGGTGGTGTGCAAGGTGGCACCTAAGCCTCGGGGTAGCTGAGGCTGCTCTGCCTGAAACTTCAGTCTTAGGAAAGATACACACACACAGAATCACACACAGTCACGCACACACACACACACAGAATCACAGTCACTCCCCCCACACACACATAGAATCACACACAGTCCTGCACACACACAGTCACACACATGCATGACACATATGCTTTAGAGTAAATACAAAACCCAAATTAGTTACAATGTAGGACGTAAAAATTCAAAGAGCACGTTCTCTCTTCTGCTGTAGTTCGAGAGCCTGCAGGAGGGCTGCCTCTCTCCCCAGGCTTTGTGGTGGGACGTGGGAGAGGCTGCTGGCCCCTCCTAGTCTCCTGATGGCCCAGGTCGCCCCTGCTCCCTCTCCTTGGGTCCCCGCAGTCACACTGCCTCCCATGCATGACGCTTTATCACCACGGCCTTGTGCTGTGTGCTCTTGGGCAGGGCCCGTGGCCCCTGCAGGGCCCGAGGGTGGAGGAGGCTAGCCCAGACCCCTCTCCACACCCGGCCAGGAAGGTAACCATGTCCTTCGGTGCCTCCTCCTTCCCAGAACCTGAACATCCAGGTGGAGGACATCCGGATCCGAGCCATCCTCTCCGCCTACCGCAAGCGCACCCCGGTGACGGAGGGCTACGTGGAGGTGAAGGAGGGCAAGGCCTGGAAGCAGATCTGTGACAAGCACTGGACGGCCAAGAACTCCCGCGTGGTCTGCGGCATGTTCGGCTTCCCTGGGGAGAAGACGTACAACACCAAAGTGTACAAGTAAGAGGCCCCCTCCCCTCAAAGCACTGTTTCCTGGGGGGTTGCTGCTCTGTGAAGAGAAGGCTCCTGTGGTGGGTGCTGAACAGAGGGGGTCCGCCAGCGGCTGTCAGTGCAGGCCTGGCCGCTGGGGAACTCACACTCCTGTGGATGCAGAGGCGGGGGGCGGGTGCAGGGTGTGTGCAGGAGGGCGGGCGGGCGGGCGGGGGTGGGGGGGGGTGTCAGTGCCGACAGCCAGCTCCGTGACCACTGGGGCCAAACCAGGACAGCACCAACTTAAGAAATGTTTACTTGCCCTCAGTAAATGATTAGTTTGAAAAATCTGGAACTCAGAGAAACTGTTAGGAAATTCGATCAGTTACAATCCTAGTGAAATCTTATAATTTAGTTATGGTTTCCAAAGTTAATATCTCCCACAGGGAAAGGAGCAGATAATAACAGGACTTCGAGTAGTTCGCCCGGTGAAGGGCTTCACCCCGTGACAGGCGGGGGGCCGGGTCCTGGGTGGGAGTGGGCCTTCCTGTCTCCTCTTACGGTGACTGGTTTACTGAGGGCTGATCGTGAGCCGGGCCTGTTCTTAGCCATTGATCCTCACAGCGCCGGGAATTAGGGGTTGATTTTACAGTCGAGGAAAGGAAGTCAGGGAGGGAAGTGGCAGATCTAAGATCCAAGCCCCCATCTCCAGCGACAGGGTCCAAACTCTTTCCTTTCAAGCCAGAGGAAGTCAGGAGACGTGGGACCCAGACCCAGCGCCCCCTCCAGATCCCCGGGGTCAGGGCAGACTGCAGGTCCTGGGCTTGGCTTGGCCGTTTGGGGTCAGAGTCCCCAGCCCACCATGAGGCTGAGTGCTGGTGGCTGAGCGGCTCCGCTGGGCGAGCTCCCCGCCCCGCTAGGGGTGAGCCTGGTGGTGATCCCCAACCCAGACACCCTCAGATGTGGCCCAGACTTTCCTGTTTGCAGTGGGGTTCCCGGCCTCTGAATACTTTGGAGAATTCCTGCCAGCTGGCCAGCTTCCTCCCTGGAGACACCTTCTCAGCTTTTCCTACCATTGGAGCCAAGAAAAGCAAACCCCACCCACCCCTACCCCCCACCCCAACCAGCTCCCATCTGGCTGCCCCACAGTGCCCCAGCTGACAACTGGTCTGAGTCCAGTGCCGGGCCTGGGAAGGCAGCCATCAGCCCTGCCCAGGGCAGGACGGGGTCCCTGAGGCCGGCAGCATGTGCCTGTTCAAAGGCGTTTGAAAGCCATCTCCCCAGCTGTGGCCGGTCCAGAGTCCTTTTCCTGATTTTGAGGAGGGAGCTCAGATCTATGTCGGCAGCGGATTCTCTCACGTGCTGGTTTTAAACCTGCCTCCCTGAACCTCCCACCCCTGAGTCTGTGCCTTTGCTCTTTCAAATGGGGGCAGAAGAGGGCTTCAAGGCTGGGAGCATCCGGGTGCTGGCGGGTGGTATTTTGGGCTCAGGCTGCTGCAAACCAGCTCCTCCCTTGGACCTCCAGCTGGAGGTGGTGTGGAGGGCAGGAGCACGGGGCAAAACCTCGGCGGGTCTCTGCTGTTTTGTGTTCGTCTCTGGGCCTCCGCTGACAGTTGAGCCCCAGAAGAGAAGGTGCGCTGGGGAAAGTGTTCTGTGCCTCGGTGATGCTGTGAGGGGTTGAGATGGCAGCCAGCTGGAGAAAGCTGTTAGCAAAGGGCATGGGGCAGCCTCAGAGGTCACCCGGTCCCAGCCCTCCGTCTGCACGATGAGAGACCCAGGCCTGAGGACAGTGGATTTGGGGGTCACAGAGCCCTCTTCTGCCAGAGTCCACAGGGCTACTCGGGAGTGCTGTCCACATTGCTACCTCCACCTGCAGACCTGCTCCAGCTCTGGCCCCTCGGCCCCGGCTCCCACCACGGGCCTTGCTGTTATGTCAGAGCTGGAACAGGGCTGGCTTGAGGGTGGGGTGTCTGTGAGCCTGCTCAGAAGTTGAGGAAAACTGGGAGCCAGAGAGAGGGTCACCCCCCGCAATGGTCCCTGAGTCCGAGGCCACTCACATCTTTCCCATTTCCCTTGGCCCTTCCTAGCCGGCCAGGGGAAGCGGCTTCCCAGGGGAGCCTTCCACTCTAGGAAGGAAATTGTTTTCAAAGTAATTGCGTCTGGGATGGTGTTAGTAATCTCTCTGCATGCACCAGGCCCCTAAGGGGCTTGGCAGCCCTGGAGACTCACCAGGGCCACGGCCAAGGCTCTCCACCCTGGCTCCCTCCGCAGACCTGCAGGTCTGGTGGCCACTCAGAGTCTCCCCAAGGCTGGACTGCAGCTCTTCCTCAGCTTCTGCCAGCCACCCCGTCCTCCAAGTCAGAGGCACCTAGGAAGGTACCCACATGTCCCCAGAGGCCTCTGCACCCAAAGACTCACTCAAGATGGAGTCCAGGGCTCCCCAACATGGGCTGCTTTGCTGTGAGCTTTCTGCTCTGGCCTGGGGGTGGGGGGGGCGGGGCTTCGTAGCCTCAGGGCCCATCCCAGGGGCAGGAGCATTTTGTATTGTGGTTTTTTCTTTTTCGCCTGAAAGCAGGATCCCACTATTGATACCGATTTTTGACACAAGCAGGAATTCTGCGTCCAGCACTGCATCTGGGAGAGTGGAAGGGCTCTGCTCGGCTGGTTGGCTGAAATGCCAGCCTCCTTTCGTTTCAGGTAGAGGAAGGAATTCAAAGTATTAATGTCAGAACCGTCCAAACCCGTGGAGAATTTTAATGGGTTTATTTGAGCCAAACTGATGACATTTGCCAGGAAGCAAAATCTCAACGGATTGAGAAAATGCTGTGTAGAATGGCAGTCTTACGGCTTATTTTATACATTAGAATAGAAGGAGAAGATGTAAGGAGGGCTACATGAAATCCGTTGTTGGCAGATTACGGAAGCTGGAGAAAGCAAAGCAGGGAAATCTTTGACGTTGGATGCAATGAAGAGGCAAGTGCATTTACATTGTGGGTACAGGACAGTTAACAACTAATGTTGCCAGCACATAGAGATAGTATCTGGGCAACAAGGTAACAATGAGGGGTTCTGTGGTCTCACACTCTGGTGCAGCGGGTGTGCCCTGAGGGGTCTGGAAAGGAGATGACGCTGATAGTCTAAGGGTCTGTTATCTTAGATGCACAGAGACAATAGACCAGCTCACTTAGGTAAAGACTGACCTTTGTCAGGGACACAGGGACAGGATGTGACTGCCCTCCACGATCAGCTTTTAGGGCTTTTAGGTTGGAGAAGACAAAGGAGGGAGGAATCTGTAGGATTGGATAAAAAGTATAAGGAACAGACACACACTTCTTTTACAGGTGGGTACAGGATAGCTAGCAGTCAGCAATAGTGCAATAACAATAACAATGAGGAAATCTGTGGTCTCTGCTCTGGTGGGTGGTTATGCCCCGAGGAGTCTGGGGGTGGGGAGGGGGGTTTACCCTGACATTCCAAAGGTGTGTTAAGGTGGATGCAAAGACAATAGACAGGCTCGGTTAAGGTAAAGATTGACCTTTGTCAGGGAAGATACCGGCCTAGGAAATGACTACCTTCGATGACCTGCTTTTAGCTAGAAAGTTAATTTCAGGCTGTATGGTTACTTTATAGTAGATCGCAGGCCTCCCCTGAGCCTGTCAGGTTTAGTATGTGGCCCTTTTCATCCACACCTGCTTCCAAAGTGTGTAATTGGAACCGACGTGCTCAGCAGCTGGCAGAATTCCTGGGAAAGCAGGGATCCCCGTGGCTGGGAGGGAGCCAGCAGGACTTTTTATTTTTAATTGAATCAGTCCAGCCATAGAATGGACAGTTCTTTCTCAAGCAGGCTTCCCATCCCTGCCAATGGCTCTCCCCTAACTCCGGTCCCTCTCCAATCCCTGGGCCTGGAGTGGGCTGCCCACCCATCCTCCCCAGCGCTCCTCTGCACCCCCTGGGGCCTGTCTGGGGTGAATCATGAGGGAGGGGTGGGTGCTGCCGATGGGAGCCTGTGGAGGGTCAGGGTGCATTACTGTGAGCTGACGTAAGAGGGAGGCCGGGCTGCCTGGGGAGGCGGCAGCATTCAGCACGTCTGTTCCTGGCAGAGCTGGTGTTTCCTGAAAGCTGAGAGCAAGGATTCTCCAAGCCGCTGGAGCTGACCAATCCTCGTGCAGCTGACCCCCGAGCGTGCTCTTTCCTGATGTGGGGGTGTCATGGGGAACACGCTGGAGGCTGAGGCTCCAAGTGCAGGGCCTGCAGGAAGTGGGGAGGGGCAGAGGTTCCCGGAATTATCAACAGTCCCCCTGGGTGGCTGCAGCTCCGCTGAGCACACATCCAGAATTTTCCCGAACAGTCCTGGTTTCAAAGATTCCGTGCCATTGCGCCCACAAGCATACTAGAATTGTTACAAGTCTCAATTTTTGGTTAAGGAAAGATATGGGTGGTGGCCATAGGGTTTTTCCTCCCTCTGTGTTCACATCCCATCCACTTTGAGACAAAGCAGGAACTCCCAGGCCTGCCGGACCCTCAGGGACAGGACCTTGCTCTGTCCCCCC